AATTTTTATGATATCGTCAAACATATATTTTATTCAAAAATAAAAACATCATCGCTTTCTCAAAATCACATAAAGCCATATTATAACATCGATTGAGATAAAGAATAAAATGAAATATTAAAAACACGATGTATCTCGCTGCATTGCGCGAGTACGCTTCTAGTATATATATACATGTCCACAATAAGAAAAAACCCCTATGGTTTTAAGAAGATGATATCTTGAGCAGTTACATATCCAGGGCCCCTGACACAAATAATGTATAACTATTACATCTTTTAATTAACAAAATGACAATTTTGCCCTCAATTATAGAATCGAAAATTTTCTCCATCTCATAATTAAGAGTACAAAAAAAAAGTAGAACTTTATTTTTGAAAGTGAACACTTACGTTGGAAGAAACTAAAATAGTAACGTGGACACTTATTTTATGATACACGTGCCAAGTCGTATCAGTTTCTCAAAAAAGAACTTTCTTTTATATAGTTCATGTGAAACTGATGTTTTGCATCAATATTTATCTGAACTGAAAAGTGTCGGTTATTTTTGTTTTAATTATAAATAAGTGGTTATTTGGCAGTTGCTAAATGATTAAGTGGTCAGAATGATTAAGAGACTCTCATGATATAGTGGAAAATGAAATATAATTATTTGGTAATTATTTACAATGAAATTAAGGCGCTGAATGGTTAAGAGAGGTCCAAGATACAAAATCATTCAGAGAGTTTTAGAACCATTAAGAGATAAAAAAAATTTGTCAAACAAGATTCACCTCTTAACAAATCAAAAGTTGCCTTTTAATGAAACTACTAAATCAATTGTGACACTTATTCCGATTTTGGTCAAACAATTTGATATGGTATTAAATGTATCATGAGCTTCAACAGTAAGCAAACTTTATACCTCACATGTTACAACAACTTTTAACGTTAAACAAGCTTTATACGTCAGTTGTTACAAGACAGTCCAACGTTAGACGAACTTTATGCCTCACATGTGACAAGACATATACAGGGATAAGTTCAAATAAAAACGACCAAAAAGACAGAAAACCTAGAAACCAGTAATAAGAGCATCTTTAACAGCTATGCTATTTTAGAAAATTTGGAGATGTGGGAAAAGTTTGCTTCAACTGTTATGTTAAACTCTTCTTTAAAATAGAGAAAAAAATAAAGGACCAACAGACGTACCAAATATATTTGTCCATGTTCAAAAATCTCGAAAACTTACGGTTTTAGAACCATTAAGAGACAAACTTTTTTTTTTTGCCAAACAAGATTCACCTCTTAACAATTCAGAGGCTGCCTTTTAATGAAACTATTAAGAAGTAAACAAACAACCCCTAAATAACAACTATTGAAATATATGCAATGATTGCTTGTAATTCATCATTTTCAAAGTGAGATATTAATGAAAACAATTATGCTGTTCTTTTTAATATATCTGGGTTAAGTATATTTTATTATCAGAACCTACTTTCAAACAGGAGATACTCTCTTTTGAATAGAATGTCAACTTTTTTGTAACTTAAAATTGGTACACAACCAGTATCAACCGAAAAAAACTGGTAACAAACATCTGATATAATTTTATATACCAATTATAATTTGTTGGTTCACAGTATGAGGAGGAAAAACCTGGTACCGTACCAAGTTGACGCCCACTTAAACGTCGATCTCGTGATTAAAACATATAAATTGTTTCATTGGTAGATTGAGAAACATGTAAGGGTATTTTAGGCAAACATACTTTCAAACCCTTTTTTGTACCTTGGATGTGATACCTGGAACATATAAGTAAAGTACGTTACACAAAATAAGAATCATATCAAAATACGTTGTATTTGTATGCATTATCAGATATAAACTAAGTACCTAAATGTTTGATAAATTTGCATACAATTTTCCCAATATGTTATTACAATTACACGTATAAAACATATATATCAACGGGAGAATCGTATAATTTGTATTTAAAAATAATTTTTAGTTTGCGAAAACATCTTTCGTGTCGATTCTTGATGCCTCCTAAATTGCGCCTTCGTTTCCTGCCAAGATCATGTACTTATCTCTTCTCGTTAGATTCGTGCACTGAAACCCTAATGCATCGGCAATCTGTTTCTGAACCCGATTCGCGGTTTCAATACTCGATTCTCGACGCGCATTTGCATTTAACAAATTCTCAAGAATCATGATATGATAAACCCCAATTGGGTTCATTAGAAAAAACACAGGGTCCAAAAACTTTAAACCACTTGCAGTTGTCCCATAGAACATACTAACCTCAGCATCTAGAGCCACGGGCACGATTTCGTTGCTAATTTCAGCGAACAACGGGCTAAACCGAAGTACGTAGGGTTCCCTGCAAGTAGTCCCTTCGGGGCAAACCACAAGATCGCCTTGGCTAAGTAGCGAATCCATCATCTTGGAGTCTTTTTCTTTGTTTCGACTCAAATGGGAAGTTTTTATTGGCGATAAGAACTCTGATAACGGGCTCAAACTGTAGGTGACAGCCCTCAAGGGCTTCATTATCGCCAACGAGATATAGATCGGATCGAGTAATGTTCTATGGTTGCAGACGTATAATGTGCCTCGATCTTTTTTTTCTTTTTTGTGGTTGTTTTCAGTGGTAGAGGGAATATATGGTCTACCTCTCAGCCCTGTGAAAGATAGCACAGGGATGGACATAATGTAAGGAAAAGATATCGCGACTATGATCCTCAAGAGGCTGAGCCCGAACCCGAATGGGACCCACATGATCATTGCTAACGTTCGTGGAAAAGTTGGCATGAACGCGATCCTTCCGTCATGGAAAATTAGTGGTTTCGGGTACTTGTCTCTTGGGAGGGCTCTCCATCTTCTTTTCTCGACTTCAGTTACCAAGTATATCTCCTAAGCAACGAAAAACGACTATGTTATAACTATTGAAATAAAACGTCATATCAGTTTTTTTATATGATATTATTTGGGGAAAAAATGTATTATAATAATAAATGTCCTATAAAAAGATATATTCATATGATACTTTTTTCTATTAATTTGGATATCCAATCCGCTATGCGAACTGACTAATCCCAGGGCGACCACCTGCTTTGCAGATAGCCCGGAGTCACCGCATTTGAACCTCCGTGGCCACAAGAGGATTTTTATTTCTCCTTGGATTTGAACCGGGACCTCCAGGTACTTTTGACCTTTGGAGTCAAGCTCAAACCAATCAGGCACCACCCTTGTGGTTATATTCATATAATACTTCTAGTAAAGCGTCCTATAGACCAGTAAGATATCTTATTTCAAAATTTGTCCTAAAATCATGCCCTAATACGTTCTAACATCCTACTATGATACATTTTTTGGGTAACCGTGGGTATCCAAACGGGCCTACGTGCACCAATTAACCCTCCGGTGACCACAAATCACATGAAATCATCACAAGTGAACCTCCATAACTACAAAGGATTTGCAACAGGTGGATTATAACACAAGAAAATGAGATTTCCACATCATACCTGAATCTCCTTGCAATCAGAGAAAAGTTGGTGATCAAGAATCTTGTTAGAGCAACCAAAACCAATGAGATTGTTGTCACCTTTCCTCTCTCCAAAAACATCATTCATCAAGAAACTGAATCTTGATCTTGATCTTGATCTTGGTGGCACCTCCTCCTCCATCAACCCCACAAAATACCCACAAACCACCTTCAAATCTCTCCCAAAAACACAATCTACACCCAAATAATCCTTCAAAAACCCTTCAACCATAACCCTAGGCAACTCACTCAACCCTACTTTCCTCCCAAATCTCATCACCACCTCAAACCCTTCAAACCCTAAATCCTCCATGAAGAACTTGGGCAAAACAGTCCTACCAATCACAAAGCTTCCCTTTTTAACCCCAAAGAAACATATAAACACCATAATCTTCAACCCCATTTCTCTGCTGACCAAACAAACCAAAGGGTATAATAGGAACAACACCAAACCTCTCAAAACACCACCACCTTCAAAAGCCACTAGCATGAAGTAAGGAAAGAGTGAAGTTGACCTTAATAACCCTCCTTCCACTTCAAACACAAGAGTTGTAGTCTTCAGTAGCTCTTCTGATCTGTGCTTATCTGCCATAGATTCATATCTCATGTACTTCAAGCTCCTGTTCTTGCAATGCTGTCCCTGAGGGTAACCTAGTAATTTCAATACAAACTTGTACAAGAAGAACAAGTGTTGTAACATCTTTCTATCCATCTTTTCATATGATGGTCTTGTTAATTAGTGCATATATATACACACACACACATACTAACTTGAGGGTGCAATGCATGGTACCCTACCTACATATGGAGCTGGTTAAGTGTCTAATCAATAACCACAAATCTTGAAAATATAAAACTATAGAATTTATGACATATGGTTAGGATATATTAAAGTATATATTTATATTCAAATTAATACCCGTTAAAGTCTAATAGATCTATTAAAGTCCACTAAAATCCATTAAAGCCTAGTAATACCCTTTAAAGCCCAGTTGAACAGAATAAAACTCAATAATACCCGTTAAATCCCAATAATATCAGTTAATGCCCAATTGAACTTAATAAGACCTATTAGCTCCATTAAAGTCTAGTTGAACCGAATAGTACCTGTTAAAGTACACTAAGATCCATTAAAGCCCAGTTGAATCCAATAAAACCCAATTGAACGAAATAAGACTCAATAAATCTATTATAACTCAATTGAAAATATACAACTATAGACTTTATGACATATGGTTAGGATATATTAAAGTATATATTTATTATCTATAAATTGAAAGCTTAATGAAATCATTGATATATCAAGAGAGCAAGTTTGGAAACAATGGGCAAATGTGTCATTTCAAACCATTTATTCAAGAAATAAAGAACCAATTTGGGAGCTTAACCAATCAGCTGAATTATGATTAATTAGCTGGACCAGGTGGAGATTGTATGACCACATGAGTTCTAAAGCAATAAATGATGGCATAAAATTCCAAGTTATTTAAACATCTAATCATTCATATTTAACAAACTTAAATGTTTGATTCAGATATATGATCATATTCTTGTACTGAATAACTTGTGTATTTTACGGGTTTTCTGGACAAAGTGTTGATGTAATTTTCAGTATACGATATTTCAACTGTATGGATTTGTTTTTGTTTCTGTTTCTGCTAGGGGTGTAAATCAGTTGGTTCTACTTAGAAGCATGAGGTCAAACCATCGGTTTCAGACTTCAACGATATTGCAGAGGTCTTAGAAGAAGAAGGGATCAACTTTGATGGCTTTAGGGTTTTGAAGTCGTTTTCCTTTTGAAAAGAAAGTTGAACGGTTCAGCAAACAAAGTTGAAAAACGAATATGAACAAGAACCTGTTTTTGTTTCATGTTGTGAATTTCTTTGATAGGGTTTGTGTTTGCTAAAAATGATGGAGTGTTGTTGAATAATATTGATCTAACTTTAGAGTTCGGGTGTCAGAATTTTGATAACTGATCAAAAATCCAATTGACTGATCTTATCTAATCCAGAAAGATCATTAAATTGCATCGACTGGTTCCATTCATTTGATATTACTGTTTTATTGGATCGACTTTGATCCATATGATATTTTGAAGTAATTTCCTGACTATTTCAACTAATCATTTGTACATCTCCTTTTTTTACAAACCGTACAAACATCATTCAATCAATCATAATTTTTCATTTTATTCATTTTTTTTTTGTAATTATGAGAGTTGATTAATCATTTTTATTGTGAAGGGTGTTAATCATGGATATTATCATCTTCATTATTTTAATTTTAGAGAAATACATGAAACAGTTTCATTAAAATTTCATTAAGTAGTATATGAAACAATTTCATAACCATATATAAAACAACTTCATCAAAAAAAGTATTATATGAAACAATTTTACAAGATTAAAAAATTTCATAAGATTTAACAATGAAATTGACGAATGAGGGTGGTTTACACGGTTTGTACAAATTGGGTGGTTTGTATGTGATCGCTCCTCTCTCCTCTCTCTCCCTCTATATATATATATACATATATATAATAAAAAATATTCATATAAATCGAACGACCAACATAATTAATATATAAGCATAAATCACAGGGGGAAAAACAAGTTTCGTATATCAAAATATGAAATCTCTATTCACATAAAATAATAAACATATATATAGGCGAATGATCGTGTGAGAAGGAAAGTTATTGTAAGAAACGTAAGAATAGAACTAAATTTTTGATCACTTTTAATCTCATGAATTGCGTTTTAGAAGAAAATTAATCTGATACATCTCAGTGCACCGCATCGGTGTTGGTATTCAATTAGGATTGATCTAAGGGTGAAGATCTTTTTTACATTTCTCACCAAAAATTATCTTCTCACTAACACACACACACACACACACACACACAYATATATATATATATATATATATAAAGAGAGAGAGAGAGAGAAGGGGGGGGGGGTCAAATAAGGATGCCAAAAAAGTTGAGAACATATGAATAAATAATTCGTAAATGATATTTGGGTTCACATATGAATATTCATATATGAATAATTGATAAAAAGATAGGTAACCAAAGTGGCTTCGTATGTACATTCTCGAATGGATTTCTTTTCGAGTTTACCAATAATTCACATATGAATCATTCTTCATTTTTACGTTCTCAATCTTTTTGGCTTTCTTACCTAGATCTTTCCAGTTTATATAGATATATAGTTGGATTAATAACTGAATGAGTTCAGTTTTACTTAGATTTTAAATTATCATCCGCCAAAATAACGATCATGGATTTAATACCGAAAATTTGGATTTGATTCGGTCCGATCCAATCCAATCTTGGTTGGTCGGTGGTCGGTGGTCGGTGGTAACTGAATCAGATAAATTTTTGTGTTGCCCCTACCAGACTAAATGCATAATTGGAGGTTCACATGTCTTTTCCGACAATACATCCACGCAATCCACAATTTCTTTTCCAATTCAGCCGGCACTTACCCAAAACCTAAAAGGACGATGCACTTCTTGTACTAATTTTGTACCATACCTAAACTTCACTATACATCCACAATCCAAATGTCTGATATACACGTCAAATTAAGATCTTAAATTTCTAATAACGTGGTGGGATCAACCCTATGACGTAAACTTACACCTCAGTGGCCTCACTTGTAGGCCTAAGCCATAATGGACACGACCCGATATCACCATGGAAGTAAGTTTCGTTTTCATAACAACTAGCTACAAACATAAATGGTGTATTTCTGGGTTTTCGACCATCTCACTTGTTATAAACACCCTTGACTGGGACAGTATTTTTGTGACAAGTCAAGAATTGAACTCGTATTCCAATTTATTGACGATGTTTCAGAAGTGGATCGATTAATTATCGCTCGTAAAATTTTAAACAAAATTCAAAATCTTTAACATGGACCTCATAAGATAACTATTTTTTTTTATTAACCTGGATATCCAACCCGCTATGCGAGCCGACTAATCTCAGGACGACCACTTGCTTTGCAGATAGCCCGAAGTCATCGCGTTTGAACCTCCGTGACCACAAAAGGGATTTTTATTCTTCCTTGTATTTGAACCTGGAACCTCCTGATGTTTTTGACCTTTAAAGCTAAGCTCAAACCAATCAATCACCACCACCCTTATGGTTGATAACTATTTTACAATTCACAATCAAAAAATATATATATATATAAAAGAAAGAAGCAAACCACTCCATGAATTTTGACCTGGTCAAAGTCAACAAAAGAAAAAAAAAACTAAACCATAAATATATTAGACATGGGCCTATATATGTAGCCCATTTATGAGTACCCACTTCATTGAGGAGCCCGGCCCATCTTTGTTTCGGATCCGGGTTGCTTCATTTCTTCCCCACCCGGCAAAACCATACCCGGATAACCTGGAACTCCAACATATCTTGGACCATAGTAAACGGGCTGGCCCGGCCCACCACCCCCTCTACCCGGCATCTCGTATGCCTCCCCACCCGAAACGGGCCTCATTCCCGAGTACATTTGACCCATATTCGACACTTGAGGGTGCAATATCTGACCCTGAGGCGTCATAAACTGTTGACCGTACTGAGCCCGAATCGGAAGAGACTGAAGCGGAACGTTTTCTTGAGGCATCGAACCCGGTGGTTGCATATAATAAACCGGCATCTCCTGCATCGGGGCTGGCGAAGAAGTTCGACGCATATAATACATCTGTTGACCCGCGTATTCCGTCTGCTTTAAAATTATCGGATCGTTAGCTTCACTAAAATGCTCGGTACCCGTTTCTTTGGGCTCGGTAACAACCGAACTCGGATTATCGAGTTTGGTTCGAACGGGTCGAAGATTCGGAACCGGCGGAGCTACAGTGGGTCCCAACGACGATGATGTCGAGCAATACGGAGATGATATCCGTGGAGCGGGCGATCCAGGATCCGAAACCGAGACATTATCGTTGACAACCCCGGGTCGGGTTTTGGGTTTCGTATCATCCGTATGGTCCAACCCGAATAGATAATCGGGTACTTCGGATATAATAGAAGAAACTTCGGATCTTCCACGCTCCAAGCTGGCGCCGCCGTTAAGCGCGTCGAGAAACCAGTGTTCACGTTTAATGGAACCGTCAAGGAGCGAGCTGATACTAGTGGCTCGTGAGAGTGAGGCGTCAGTCGGGAAAAGGAAGAGCCGAAGCCGAGCTGTTTTGTGATTGTGAGCCAAGCGGTCGTATTCATCCAACATGTTTTCCACGTCTTCATCACTGGTGACTGTGATCAGCGCGTCTAAGTCTTCGTTTGGTAGCTGGTACTTTACGCATATATCACTTGTACCTAATAAATTTCCCCAATTTAATATTATTTTAATTTTTAATTCACCAATTTAATATTATTATAAATTATAATTATTTTACCAATTTCATAAATACATCTATTTTCGTTTTTTTTTGTCAGTATATTACACTCGAAAGTAAGATGTGGAGTAAAATGTATACAGATTAGTCATATTATCGTAATAACAGTTGTTTCCGTGGTGAATTTTACACAGACAGGACTAGATATCTGAACATGAAAGACAGGGGGCGTACCTATGTATGCCCCCGCTGTGCATATGCTCAACTTATTTTTGCAAATACGATTTTTTATAGATATTTGAGATGCACCCGCTAAACTTTGAGAGGTGTTCTGGGATATTATAAATTTTAAAGAGCATCAACAAAAACACGAAGAAAAAATACCTTGAAATCAACAAAAAGAGACGGAAAAAGTCCCTTGAAATCAACCAAAAAACTAAAAAATCCCTCAAAATGTTGAAATTCGGCTAAAAGCATATAGGACGACTTTGCAGGTCTTTTGATCTACCTTAAAGATGTCTTCATTCGGCAAAAAATTTGGGTTCGTTGACTGATGACTAAGGGGCTGTTTACTAAACGCTTACCCGGTAGGTGCTTACCGGGCAATTTTCCTCACCGAACGAATATGACAAGGCCCAAGAATCTTACCTGGTAAGAGCGATGATAAGGATAGAGAGTCTTACCCGGTAAGTGAGGCTGACGACTCTTACCCGGGTAAGCGCTTACCAGATATATTGTTGCATACGATATCATTTTGATATACTACAATCTTATCCAAAAGATAAACTATAGTGTTGCTTCTAACGTTAAGCACTTACCGGGTAAGCATTTAGGTAAACAACCCCTAAATTAGATAAAAACGAGAGTGGATAGGTGCATAAAAATATTGTGGAAGATTTTAGGGTTTTAACTTGACATGGTAAATTAGTAATTTATTAAACTTGTCAAAACATTTCCAACAGATTTTTGAAAGTGGAAAATCAGAACTTAAAATCTAAAAAAAACATTTAACTCCAAAAATTCTCTATTTTAAATATTATAATATTAATTATACAATTAAAATATTGTATTAGTTGTAATAAAATATTATTTTTTTCTCTTATCTATACTATATTATAAAGCATTTGGCTAAAACTCTTAAAAACTCTTAAAACTCTTAAAAACTCTTAARCCCGTTCATCCCTATCCGATTTCATCCCATATCTAAATTCGTGTAACTAACTGCATATAAACACAATCAAATACAAGATAAACATCTCATTTTAAATATAAAAAATCTAAAATATAATTAGTATA